ATATGGTCCCTAGATTTGGTAGTGTCCAACCGGCGGCAAACCGGAGCATTCGCTAGGGAGTACATACCTACATCAATTGGTCTGAGCTGCAGCTGGAGTCAGGTGGTGGTAGGTGAGATGTGATAAGAACCCTAATGACGGTGGCAAGTAACAAAATGCCCTTTAAATAGATCACGCCTGGATTGCGAACCCACCTCCAGGGTGTTAGTTGGTAGCCAGGTTAGAATTAGAGACGGTGCTAGGGTTAGAATAGTTAATATAGTTAGTCAGACTCTTCATATAATGATTGTAACTTTAATGCTAAGTTAATAAAGTTCGCATGTAATGCACTTTGCCTCTAAAAAAAAAAAAAAAAAAAAAAAAAAAAGTAAAATTTATAAAGTGTTAATACCAGTAATAAATAAATTCATGTAATAATGAACTTAAAAAATAATTATTTGAAATCGTGTATTTTTAACTTATTTAGGTCACTCCTAACTCCTACGTTCGCTCTAGTCTCCCAACCTTTCCTTTTACAACTTCTAACTGGTCTTATTTAGGCAGTATCGATGATTCTCTCTATTAAGCCATCCATATGGTGAGGTGTAATTCAATGGTCCATCATGCATCTTTTTGGCGAGGTAGCCTTCTTTCCCATCCGTTTTTTCCAATTTCCTCTTCCTTCTCAGTTTCATAATCCTCTTTTTGGATTTTCCTCGATTACCATCATCAACGTTTCTTTCAATTGGAGGGATACATGGCGGGGCGTAATTCAATGGTCCATCATACATCTTTTTGATGAAGTAGCCTTCTTTCCCATCTGTTTTTTCCAATTTTCTCTTCCTTCTCAGTTTCATAATCCTTTTTTTGGATTTTCCTCGATTACTATCATCAACATTTCTTCCAATTGGAGGGATACATGGTGGGGCCTGATATCTCCGGTCATATTTTATTATTGGAGTTAGAACTACTATGTATCTCCTTCATCTTACTCAAAGAATATAAGTCATTCTTTCTTATATTTATTCATCTTTCCTTTCTCACACAGACCTCTATTCCATAAGGTGTTTTCGTCATCTGCATTTTAAGATCCCTGACTATCGATTTCATCAGTAAGTACCTTTTTAGTCTTTTCATTCGAGATCAGGACCTTTACTTAACACCTCGTGATGATTTTCTTTCCATGAGTACTTGTTTCCTGTTTAGGTAGTGTTTGCTTCTGATTCTGATGTTTTTTTTTTATCATAGCGATTATACAATTTGACAGAATGTTATCAATATCATCATAAGCAGGTGGCTTTCTCTACAAATGACTTTTTTTTTTTACTTTTTCGATTGGTACCCTAACCTATTTATACTATGACTATGGTTCCGAAAATTGGAATCAAATAGAATTGAACAGAATCGTATGGGGTTTGGAATATTATTAAAAATGATGGTGGAGTATACTCCACCTATTAAATTTAATATAAACTTGAGAATTGAATACAAAATCGAGAAGAATCGTTAGGATCCTTAACTATGACCATACGGAATTGATTCTTTTTCAGTATAGGATATAGCGCCTTCAGCCTTTTAATTCACCCTGTCACATTAATTGCTTTCCCTAACATCATTGCGTCCCTAATGGTAGGCACTATACATGTTGCTGAAATTCATAGATCCTTGACGCAATTGATGCAATTATTTGACGCAATTAATTGAGTCACTATTAAAACATATAAATAATTGAGTCATGATGCAATTATTTTTGAGGATTTTGGGAATTGAGTCAACAGCAAAATAATTTACGCCACATGTATAGTAGGCACTGATAACATCCCTCCTTTTAATTCACTTGCAAATATTTTGAGTAAGCACTGTTAGGATCAGTCCTTTTTAAAAACATCCAGAACTTATAAACATACACTATTTTATTAAACAAGAAAAGTCCACTTGCCATTGTTATTTTTGTTTGGAGGACACAATATAAAATAACATAGGATACCCGATGATATTTATAATATCTGCTGCAGTGCCTCCAAAATAGTTACTTACTATATTCAGTTTTTTTCTCATCTGTCTATTTGTTAGTTTTGGCAGATAGCACTTCATTCACGAAGGTGAGTCTTCTCTATTTACTCCAAATCTGCACGATTTAACCCAGTGAACATCTTTTTTTTCTTTTGTTTCCATTCGTGTCTCCTGACGTTCCACAAATTGATAAGGCTATTCACTAACTTTTGTAAGACAATCCATTGTTTTCATTAACTTAGTAGTTTGGGAAGTTGTCCATCCCAAGTCTATTTTATTGTTTATTAGTAATCAAGACATTTTAATACTATTGAAGAGATATTAATCTTTATTATTTTTTTTGGATAGTTGAAAACTTCTTGGAGTATTTTTTTATTGTTTTTTATTTTCATAGTATAGTTTGATAGGTACCAATAAAGAATATTTAATATAATATATAGAAAATTGTCTAGGAAATATCTTGGATTGACTGAATCAATTCTTGTATTATTTGCAAAGAAGAATTATTATTATTTTAATTTAAAATAATTAAATTAATATATATAAATAAATATAGAATTTTAAATAATAAATAACAAAGTTAAATTTGAAAAACAAAATAAAAAATTTAAAAAAAAACTAATATCAAAATTAATTAAAGATAAAAAGCAAAAGGAAATTATGTAATACGAAAGTAAAGAAAACTTGAATTATTAAGTTTCTTAAATAAAAGTTATTACTTAATAATGAAATTTAAACTAAATTTAATCAAACTTTAAAGAATCATAAATACTTTTCAAACAAATTTTATGAATTTTATAAAAAATTCATTGAAAAAAAAAATTTTTTTTAAAGATAAAAAATTAAAAAGCAAGTTTCTAGCTATTGAAATTTTTAATCAATATTTAGTTTCTAGAAAATTACTAAATTTAAAATTTCAATTAGCTTCTATGTTTTAAAAAATCAGATCAAAAAAGAATTAAATAAGTTTAAAGATAAAATTTAATAATACTTTAAATTCCTATATATAAATTAAAATAATTATATATACGGTATATATTGTATCTAACAATTTTTTATTTATAACTATTTTAAATTTAATTATAAAAATAAATTTCTAGATTTTTTTTAACAATTATAATATCAAAATAAAAAAGATCATATAAAAAAGAATTTTTTCTAATTTATGATAACTTTCAATAAAATTTCACACATTTAAGTTAATTCAATAAAAATCAATTTATTTAGAAAAGATTTTTTGACAAGGATTTCATAAAATTGTTTGTTATTGTGTAAAGGTTTTTATACAATAAATAGCTTTAAAAAATTTTGAAATTACCATGTATATACTGTAAATACATTTTTTAAAAAAATTTCTAATGTTTTTAACCAATATATTTTAATTTGTATAATGTGCCGAAAACAAGTGATATACCTTTTACCTCCTATAAATAAACACCACCTGACATGTGAACCTGTCTACAGAGTATGACAAGAGGGATAGAGTGGAGATTAAAAAAAAAATCAATTTCTTTTAAATTAATTAAAAACTAAATTTATTGATACATTGTTTAAAAAACTTGGGGATCGCGTTGATTCACATACATTCGCATACATAACATGAACTAATTTTAAATTTAATATAATTAATAAAAATTGTATAATATTACGGTACATATCTATTTATATTTTAATATCACATGATGATCTTTGTGTCATCAGCGTTTCATTCGCAACTCACTTCCATCGCATTCGCATGTTTAGCAATTTACATGTGACCTTTATTTTAATAACGGGTATCGAATGTGTACAGTTGATCATATTTCTTTTCCCTGATCAGAATCCCATTTTCTTTTTTTATCAAACCGCGGAGTCATCATCAATCAGTCGATCAAACAATAAATAAATAATCATCATGAAAAAGGAGTGAACCGAACAAGAGAAAAAAATGAAGATCAAGAATCAACATAAACGCCACTGTTACCAATGCACGAGCCCGCGCCAATTCTCAAGGGACCTTAACCACCTGGTAAACCTCATACTCTTTCACTTTAAAACTTTCGCCACTACTTCTAATCCCCTTCGCATAACTTTTCTTGTTGCAACAATTTCCATTTCCGTCATCGAACTTTCCATACAACTTTAGATCATACTTCTTAGCCCCAAAGCAAGGGCCAAAATCGATGTGTGAATAGACAGCGTGTGCCTCATCAACCACTCTACTATAAATGGACTTGTCCATATCCGTCTTGTTCAAGGAAAATATGAAACTATTTTTCGTCTTCTGATAGACACCTTTGGATCGGTCTAACACCCAATTCAAAGGATTGAACCCACCGATGATTTCATCGGTCTTTGAAATATTGATGAGGGTCAGTGTTGAACCCTTCATGTCACATCTATCGTGAAACGCTTTTGATGAAAACCCATGATTTGAGCCTCGAATTAAAAGACGGAAATTATAATTAGTGGCCTTACTTAACATCATTGTTTCGTTAATCCACTGAACGATTAACTTTGCATAAACTTTGTTCAACAATCCGTTGCCCGTGGAAATTTGCGGTCGTGGCTGTGGTTGCGGTTGCGAAGTGAATTGGGGTTGTAATGGTGGCTCCGAGATGAATTGTGGTTGAGATCGCAGAGCGGGTTGTGATTGGTGTTGGACTGGCGAGGTGGATGAAGATTCTGTGGGAGTGTTTGTGGAACTGCTGCTGGGCGGAGTGGTTAACTCCAATGTTGGTGAATCAGAGAGCTCCGGGAAGGTATGATGTTCCAAGATCTCAATGTAGAAACTATCCTCAAATAGTTTCTTGAATGGTCTTACTTTTTGCAGAAATTCACTACGAGAGACCTTTTGGAAGTCGATGCATTGAATGAACGAATCCATCAACTCCCTAAGAGAATTATAATCATCATTGGTCCACGTAGTAATATCAAGCGTCAAGGGGGGGAATTGAGAAACTCCCCACTCGACGAGTTTTTCCCACAAAACGATTTCCCTGATGTTACTAGGATGATTCTTGTAAAACGAGAGTAGCTCCTTTTTTTTGAACATCATGAAATCCTGAGAATTGATAAAAGTCTCAGGATCTTCTCTGAGGATATTGTTACAAAATGTCGACAGTTTCTCGAAATGATTGTATGAAGCCCTGGCTACAAAAAAGAAATGTCTTTTAACGAGTTCTTTTTGGTTAATAAAGTAGTCCTGAATATAGTCACATAGCTCATTGAGACATAATTCGCGAGCTCCACACAAAAGATAGATAACTTCCGATACATTGTATTGGGAAAGCTCGATTGTTCCGAAGTATATGTACCTGACGTCAAATTGACGGCACGTTAGAAGGCGAGAGTGAAAAAGCATACACATTTCCTTCTCAAGGAGCTTACATGAGGAGCACGCTGAATAATTTCGGAGAGATGTTTGGTTTGTTAAACGAGACGACCCTTAGTTTTTGCTTCCCATGTTCTATATCCTCATTTGAACAACCCGTGGCAAGTTTTGCGCGAAAATATGAAGACCGAGCTTTCAAAACGAGCGAGTGAGCTTGTAACAATGTTTCGTCGTTGACCTTGATAATAATATCCGCAAAGTCACCAGTTTCCAAAAGAGTCCTATAATCTTTGGATAAGATTTCCAATAGATTAATTGTCATTTTGGATGAACGTGCGGTGTTTTGTGGCTTGATAAAAATTGTTAAGTAGTAGAAGAACGATGAGAATTTCGTGGGAAACCTGTGTTTATTACGCACAGTGCACGTGCACATTTATATAAGAAACTCCGGGAGCGGCGAACTTCTAGAACCTTCTTAGCCACAAGTGTACGTAATGGATAAGCAAGGTAAATAAAACGGAGATCACAGATCATTGTTCATTCATTCACCCATTCGTCCATTCATTTTGACTCAAATTAGGTTCGGAACATGCTGAGATGTTCACATTTTGAATTAGAATGTTTTTATTATGCACATTTATTATTACAAACAGATTACAGATTAAGAATTACATGAATCACGAAAGAACTTTGTGAGAAAAAGGCATAAATAAATTAAAAAGGGAATACATAGTATATATTCGTGTTGTGAATCGGAAAAGAATGAACAGTAGGCTGAAAGACGATGGTGTCTTCAAGATGCATATATATTAAGATTATAGAGAAGAGGAAAATCTATACAAGTGTAGGGATTTGTTTTCCGTGAATGAGATTGATTTTTACATGATGCAATTTTAGATGCCAAAAAAAGAAATAAGTACAAGAAACAAGAGGCCGGCTAAGGAAGACTTGCCTCTCACACCCACAAAGAACATCTTTAAATAAATTAATATGTATATATACTGGGTATAATAAACACGAAGATTAATCAAAATGTCATGGGGGTAACTTTGCTTTCTCGGGTATCGCAATCGTCAGATCCGAAGTATCCAAGGTCTTTTCGTCCCTCAACGGACGGCTTTCATCATATTCACCATTATTCGTCACATTTTCTTTACATCTGTTGTCGTCATGATGTTTCGTATCACGCTTGTCTCCGTCACCGTAGGAATTCTCCATGTCATAAACGGGTTGCCCACTGTTCACGAACGGACCTTCGACTAGAGGCCAATTCGCATTGTTCAAACCATCAACTTCAATGTTGGCGATGGAATTTTCCACTGGAGGCCAATCGTCCAAACTACTAACTTCGATGGTGGTGGTGGTGGTAGTAATGGTGATCAACGAATGTTGATAGCAATGTGAAGATTGTGAGTGTTTAAGTGGCATGCGACGGTACCGGGGATCCAACGATATCACCGTCGTGTTCATGTTAGATGCGGCGGAATCACGTCGAACGTCAGAGGGCACAAAGTAGGAAGTGGTCTTGTGAAATTTGCCGTAGACGGGCGGCGGTGAACTTGGAGTGGAACCGTATGAAACGGATGGACTTACACGATTACTGGAGTTTGATCGATATGATGGTGGAATGACGATGTCAAATGAAATAGGAAGATGATCAGATTTCCTTTCGCATCTACTGTTCCGTTAAGGAAAGAGACACATTAGTGTTTGTCGCGTGGATAGATGAAATACCCGATCGGAGATTGACACATACCCGCAAAATAAAATTCTAAAGATTTTCGACCACAGTTCCTGATATTGTTTGTTGGCAAATTCACCAGTACCAAAACACGCCAGGAACAAAGTCATATTCAAGCACATGAGTAATGAATTCAGATTTCTTGACAGGAAGCTGTCAGAATTCGGCAGATGGTTCAATTCATAAGATTGATTGCCGTCGATGAGGTAGCGAATATGGTAGTACATCATCATGGTTGCCATGGGACTACATAAGACTATGAGCAGGCAGCACCAAAGACCTATGCGAACGAGGGCATTTCGAGGAATCACGGGTTTAGCATTCGATGCACCTGTGGAATTAGGCGGGGGACCTGCTCGGGTTGGTCGGGAGACTCTGGTGGATGACGAGTCGGAGGATTTTTGCTTTATTATGGACATTGGAATCGTTATGCTTTCGCGTATGCGGGTAGAACGAAATATTTTTTTGGCGACGGGAAACAATGTTAACACTAAACATTTTTGAAATGGAAAAAAAGTTAGATATGATCACTCACAAATATATATATATATTTCCGGGACACAAGATGCCTTACCTGATAAAACACAAGACGGATAGATTGGCAGATATTCCGGAAGAATTCTCAAAACGAACAGGGCCACCCTACTTGATCCATGTGACGCGACATTACAAATCCCACCGGTGTCGATGGTCTCAAATATTCGATCATGACTTGCCATCAACACCATGATACTTAGTATAACGCTGAGTATCGGAATGAAGAATGTCAGGATAACATTAATCCTTTTGATCCATATATTTTGTCGGGCTGCGGGATTGGTTAACCTTAGCGAGGTAAAAAATTCAATGGAGAGAGCCAACGCCACACCGTAATTTGAGATGGAGGACAGCGTAAGCAGTAAGCCACTGATACCACACCAAACGTGTTTCAAAGTGGGCGTATTGTCGTCAAGTTTAAAATCATTATCTAGGGTGATTCCAGCGATGACATAGGAGAGAGCTATCATAAAATTTGAGATGCTGTACCAGGATAGGATTTGACTGCGTCGTTTCTTTTGAACGTAAATATTTTGGAAGCATAGAATGCAGACTATTATGCTCATAAAAAGTATCCAAGAATCCATCTATCTATCCTAAGCGTGCACGTGTGTATAGTGATTTTTGATTTTTTTCGATGAGGATGAGGATGATGATGGAACGAGTTTAACAGGTAAGTGAGAAAAATGCTGGGGGTAATGAGAGTGAGAGTGAGAGTGAGAGTGAGAGTGAGTGTGAGTGTGAATGTGAATGCGTTTATATAATTAGTATCTTAAATGAAGGTGGTCTTGACCAGAACTGTACGTTCAGTACGGTCTTTTTTTATTATTATGAAAGAAAGGTAAATCGAGTTCTTTGGTGAAAACTATACAAATACGTTGCAGGTGCGCTCTCAATAATTCATGCTCGTGCCTTGCGCGGTAAAGGATGAAGTGCAAGGAGAAAAAAGTTTTGAAGTTCTGATTTACCGAGATAATAAATTCAAAGGTGAATTCAGATTATAATGTTTTTGGGTTGGGATGTACCACGGTCCTGAAATTTAGGGGCAGGTTGCAAGAAAACAATTACGATAAGATTGTCGAGTCATTAAAATTTTGAAATGTTAGGATAAATTTTAAAATATTTATTACATTTGCTGATAGTAGAGGCAATCACGATTTATGGAAGGTGTAAACAAACATTATCATGTGGTGACCGAAAGAACGAATGTGTACTTAGATGTCAGAAATAGATGCAATTTTTATATAGACATTAAATGGATTTCTGATGAAATAATTTCGGAGAATTGGTTCAAAACAGGACACGCTTATAATGTTGCTTGTGGTCCCACCTGTGCGTCTATCTGACCTCGCACCAGCATTTAGAATAGAGTTCGTACGTATCTATCATTATCTCGTAAACCTTAATTGGAATAATATTTGTGCAATTTCATTTCGTACATTACATAAAAAACAATAACATAATACAGTACATTTGTGATATTAGCGGTTTGGATTCTTCATTGATGCCCGATTCGCCTCTTTTTAATGCACGTGATTGATGGATTTTTCTCTTAAAGAAATTATTGTGACCCACATTATTATAATTATTATAAATATTATGTGTATCCATATATACACAGGATTTTTACAGTTTTTCTTGTTGCAACGTAAAGTTAATTAAAAGTTTTTGCACAAAGTCTGTAAATATCGAATAGATTAGATTCGAATGGGTTTGGCTATCTCCAAATAAACCTAGTTCGGATGTCATAATAAACGTGGATATTGGACCGGGTGATAATTGATTGTGTCAACGTAGATCAAACGAAAGCGTTGGTTATATTTTTACTTGGAATTGGAATAAGGTTAGGTTCCCAGTAAAATTTGACATGCAAATCAAATGTAACGCAAATTTCACAGTATCACTATTGTTCATTTAGATAAGCGATCTTTGAGAGTTTTTCTGACAAAGCCTGAAACTCACGCTAACCCAATTGATCGATTAAAACTTCGGTCGCTTCCGACACGCTGCGACTTTAATGCCAGAAAGAGTGATTCTTAAATGCCACGGGAAACGTCCAATCTTTTGCGCGTGACGATCCTTCGCAAATTGATTCGCCCATTTGATCCCAGATAGCAGGATAGGCAGAAAGGCGTGACCCTGCAGAAGTCAAGTGATTTATTCCGTGGTAACCAGAGCGAGCATAACGTATAACGTAAGCAATATGTAATATGTGATATGATGTATTCAGGGTGTGTAAGTTGTAATCTCCGTGTTTGTTTATTGCACTATTCTTATCTGTTTGCAAATCCATTATGTGTAATATTACTTGAAATGAATTCCTATCAGGATGATTAAGCTTTCTTTTCGAGTTCTCTATGTATAATCACCTTAGATTGAAGAGATGTTCGATAAAGATAAAAAAAAAAATTTTTTTTTGATATCATAATATTCGCGTGTGTGAATTTTCTGTTCAGATCTATCATGACGCCTATGGGAATAATTTTCAACTTTTTTTACGCAGATAAGATGGCGTAGAAACGTGGAATATGGTAATTTTCTACTGTCCTATTTTTATGGTAATGCTTGCTTATCTTATCTATGAATTTTTGCTTTATTGAGTATGGTAGCACGACGCATGCAAGTGATTTTATCAATTGATTTGATAGCGCGCGTACTACACAGGTGTCACGTATCAATTTCTCTTATCAACTGGATGTATGCCATGCACAATTTGTCTTTATATGTTCAAATGAAGGGACGAACATATACTGCACGTTTCATAAGGCAAGATACTAGAAGGGACGGAAATCGGTTCGTTCGTCCCTCCATATTTGATGTTAGACAAGATGTCGAAATGATAAGATAACAATTAATTCTAACAAACATACAAACAAAAGTCGTGTTCGAGACCGAATCTATTTTTTTTTTTTGACCGTTATAACTTCCTTAAGAAGTAATTTTTCATTGTCGCTACTACCATACTTCACCGTTCTCGTGTTCCACATCACCTTATTCAACTTTCTTTTCTTAACAAAAATACTGGATAACACATCTCGGCATGCTAGAGACAACTTGTTTGCGTGGCCTCAAATTTTACTCGAAATTGTACCCGACACTTTGTTGGCTCGCGTTTTCGGAGTGTAGTCATTTCTCGCGCCAAAGTATTCTCTTGATTTAAATTTCACTACTATCCATCAACCCATAAACTTTTATGGGCAAATGGGTGATTAACACGTAATCACTGCAATTTCATCAAATTGATCCCGATGCACTAGAAATTCGGAATCATTCTTTCGCCATCGGATCGCTTGTCATGGCTCAACGAAAAGTGCACACGGAAACGAACCAATTGGATAAAACCAATCACCTCGAGAGAACCGGTCATATTGAAAGACAAAAGGTTTCTTCAACTCAACTTAAGAGTTCGTGACCTCGTGATGTTTATTCGATGACTCATTTGGAACTTGAAATTTTTGTTAAAGACAAAAATTCCCGCGGAAATAATCTCGATAAAAGATGCCACCCAGACCATAAAAACCTTCTTGTTCCGTCCCCTCCCTTCATCCATCGCCTTATTTCACTTTCTTCCCGGACAATGGCTCGACGTATTCATCCCTTCTGTTCCCGTGGTCGGTGGTTTCTCCATTACCTCCACGCCATCACAATACTCTAGCGCGAAGACATTTGAATTGGCTATAAAATATTCGACTCACCCACCCGCGAAATGGTTTCATGAGAGTGCCAGGATCGGTGATTCCGTGGAGGTTAGGGTTGGTGGAGATTTCGTGTGGAATAAGAAGAAAGAACTTGAGGAAGAAACGGAGAGTGTCGTGCTCATCGCCGGTGGAGTCGGAATAAATCCATTGGTTAGTATGTTGGGAACTATTTTGGAAAGTGATGATGAGGATCGAAAGAATGAAGGGAAAAGTGAAATCGACGGACACATAAAGAAAATCAGATTGCTGTATAGTGCTAGAACCTTTAGCGAATTATTATTTTATGACCGAATAGAAAAATTACGAAGCGTATGGTCAAATGTATTGGAATGTAAGTATTTCTTGACGAGAGATGATCCACCTTCATTACCGATCGTAAATTTTGGAACGGAATTTTATTATCGGCAAAGGATAGATCAAGCAATCCTGAATGAATTGGTTGAAAGGGAACGAGCTAACATGGACAGATTGAAGTGTTTCTTGTGTGGACCTCCTCAAATGGAAGATGATCTTATAAAATATTTAAAAGAGGCCGGCATGAATGAGGAAAGAATCTTGTTTGAAAAATGGTGGTAATTCTACCTCATCTCTCTTATTCGCGAACATTAGCTTGTGAATAAATAAAATTGTAGTTGCACGTAAAAATAAATTTTATTTCAGACTTTTTTTTCGATGAATGTCAATGTCAGCGGAATAGAACAGAGCGAATCATGTCCTATTTCCAAAGTACAGTCTCATGATCCAGAAGTACGAGATGTCCACCAAGAAACTACTGAGAAAACTTCCGTGCTGTTTATCGGCCCACTCAAATCTTAGTTCGACCCCCTCCTTAGCGTCGAACAACGTCTCCAACATCCTCCACACCGAATCCGTGCACATCCCAGCTTTATCACTTCCCCACCCCCAAGGTTTGTTTCCACCGGAAGTCACGTAAAAGTCACGAACCCGAACTCCATCCAATGGTTTGTAGAATTCGGTGATACGATACTTTCTCGCGAGTTCGAAAGTAAAAAGGTCTATCACCGTGCCGCACATCGGACCGCTGTGCACCAAGAGTTTCACATTGGAACTTGTGACTAGGAGCATACCCACGTGCTCGAAGGTGAATCCGGATTTAAAGTTGGAATTGTGGATGGCAACTGCGGCTGATTTTACCAATTCGTTGAGTAGGTGAAATTCTTGTGCAGGCGTGACTACGATGTTATGAAAGATTTTGGAAGTGTATTCGACCGGTGTCAAAGACGCCATGAGTGTTCTATTTCAAACCCTAGTCTCGTAGAATAAAAGCATTCGACATCTCAATGGTTTTGCTAAAATTTTCACCAGATTCGTGCATGAGACACGAACTTGCTTTTCTGTTTCCTTACGTAATATCAATTATCTAAGAAATAATTCGTTCCTCAAAGCCACAAGAAAGTTGAAATTCACATGTCCTTGTCTGAAATTATTTATTTAAAGAAAAAAAACATGTGTTTGGCTTAGGCAAATATTAATGGCATATACTGACACTATTTAATGTATTAAATAATGAATTTAATTAAATAAAAACTTTCTTAAAATAGAAATAATAATATTTTATATACAGCACCCATGATATATTGTGATTATCGATATTAGACTGAATCTCGTAGACGCAAATGTGACTAGGAAATTAAATTTATACAATTAATTTATCAAGATAATTTGAAAATTTTTTTACTTTATTTAATTTAATTTAATTTTTTTTACTTTTAATTAAATTGCAATCTATCAATTTTTTGATCCATATGTTTTATTTAATTAAAATTTCTTGATAATAATGATAATAATAATAAAGTGATAAATATAATAATAATGATGATAATAAATTTTTTTATAAAATTTATAAAAATTTAATGAATTTTTTTTTTCTTAAGTTAGATAAAGATAAAAATAATAATTAATTGTTAAATATATATTTTTTAATCAAAAGTTTAGGACCATCACTAAAATCAATATTTATAGTCATATATTTTAATAAAAAACTAAAACTGATAAATTTCAAATATAAAGAAATTATTGGTTTTTATAAAGTCAATAATTTAAAAAAAGCAATTATAAAAAAAAAAACTGGATATGATAAAATTTCAATTTACAATACTATTATAAAATTTTATAAATTTAACATTATTTCTGTTATCTAAAAAAGTAAATATCCCAAAAAATAATTTATTATACAAGTATTATTATTATTTTTTTGAAAGGTTTTTTTCCAATAGATAAATATCATTTCTTTATTTAATTGTATATTGTAGATATATATTGTGAAAAAAACAACATCTCTTGGGTGTGTATTGCATACAACAAGTTAAATGTTAGTTTGCCTACTTGATCACTATCTAACTAATATTGTAAAAAAATTTCAAAAGCAATATTAAAATATTAAATAGTGGAGTAGTGGCTATATCTACTTATTCGACAAAATTTTATGAAATCTTTTAATTTTTTGAATATAAAATAAATGAAAAGAAAATAATAACAGTAACTAAAACTAAAACTAAGTTGAATAGACTATAAAATCTATAAGTAGAAATCCAATTATTTCTCCAAAAAAGCTTCCAGACAGGTGCATGGTCCCATCTCTTCAACTCTTTGATTACCATAAATAGTAGAGTACATATGATATTGTTAGTTGTTATAGTTGTTGTTGTTGTGCTAGAAAACTAATTTAAACAAATTCAGTTTTTTCTTTGTTGTTTTGACAAAATCTGATTGAATAATTGGAGAGTAATGATCATCTGGAGGGTAAACTGATTTCAGTTTTTTGGTCAAAAAGTTTTGGAAATTTTGAAATGACGTAGTAGTTGTCATTATGATAAGATTATATGTAAAGGTTGTGTTAAAACAAACAATAGATCCAATAACTCTGTTTGAGTGTATTTTTTGGAAAGTATTTGACTTAGCATGTATAATGGTATTAATGTAGATGGTTTTTATGTTATAATAAGTAAAAGAAGGGGTGCAAGAGAACAAAAAAAATAAGAACTGCCACAAGCTTTTTCTTATGTAACCGAAGGATAAGCAAGACTCTCAAACTTGAGTAGACTTTGACCAGAGGTCTCATCCTACTGCACCAGTTGTCTTGAAAGTTCTTGAGTTCTTAAGCTGAAGCTCACTTGTGATAAAAAGTGTAAAACATTTTTCTTGATAAAAATTACTATAAAAAGAAAATTTTTAGTAAAGTAAATACGATTAGGAGAATGTAATATCAATTTCGAAATAAATATTCTATTATGTTATTAAGTAGTAAATAGACTATAAAAAATATTTAACAAGTATTTAACAATAATTCAAGTATAAATAACTACTAATATAGATAAAATTTGTTATAAGATTTCTAATATCTTTTAAGATTTTGCAGAAAAATTTGAAATTTTATATCAAAATAATCTGGTAATTAAATCATTTTATTAAATATTTAAATTTTTTTTTTTTAATTCCATAATCAGGTTGGTGTTAAATATTTATTAAATTATAAAGAATCATTACATATACAAGAATACATGCAAAATACAAATTTCCTCAACTCAACTCACCTGTATTTAGTCGAAACCTCTAGATATGATTTATGGAGGTGATATATTGTTCCTTTAAAGGATGGAATTAAGATTCCAAACTTCTGATAGGATTAATACCTGCAGATCACCTCCACAGTTACAACTATAAATTCAAATTGTGTCACTTCTCTCTTGTAGAAACTATGCAAGAGGAAAAAGAAATAAAAAATAATTTTTTTGACAAAGAGAAAAGGAAAAAAAAGTCATCATCTATTCTAACTATCATTGAAAAGGTTATCTCAATGTACTTAAAACCCAAGTCCCTTATGGATTCCCACTTCTCACCACCTGTGACCAGTTAAATTGTTTAATTTCCAATGGAGTAGTTGATATTCAAGAATGTTTAAAGATATTTCCAGAAGAGTATTTCTTGAAACTTTATGCTTAAAGACTTCTAACTATAAAGGATATTAGTTTTCTATTGTTGATTTTTCTCCCAAGTTATGTCTTCTGGAATTATAGCTTCACTCAATCAATGAATAGTTTCAAGATCCCTTTCTCCAACTATTTTCAGGATGGATATCGGTACTTCAACTTGTTACCAGATTGGGATAGAACCTAGATTTTGTTGCTACTTCTTGTCCTCAAGAAAGAATAGAGAAGAAAAAAAAGAAAGTAAAAGAATGGAAACAAAAAGATGTTACTTCTTTTCTTCTCACAACTTCAACTTAAAACTATTCAACTCTTTCAAGAACCAATCATATCATCAGTTTGGTGTTGCACGACTGGGAACATGTGAGGAGTACGTGTCTTGTTTACTTTTTCTGTGGCTGATGTGATCAACCAATTCGTGACCTTGACCAATTATCTTTCAGGAGATTTGGTGTGACCAAAAAATTCAGAGTTAAATTGAGGCAGACAAAATTCTCCAGAAAAACCAGAAAAAAGGAAGCATGCTTGAGAAAAAAGAAGTGGAAAGTCAAAGAGATAATGGAAAAACTGAAGATTTCTTTATTCTTGTTTTTTTGGATTCTTGAATCTTTTGGAGGTCTTTGGAGGGTATTTTTTCTTATCAGTTTTCTTCCTATAAAGGTGTTCTTGCTGTAAACCTTTTAGATGGATTTCTTGTATTTAGTCACAAAAATAAACAAGAAAAGTGTTTTGAAAAAGAAAAATAAAACAAGTGATAGTTTTTGCTTGCTCAGCTGGTTAAAACTAGTATTGTTTTTAAGGAAAGTGTATAGGTTTTATTATCATAAAGACAAAAAATCTTTTGAAAATATCTGTTTTTTAGGTTGGCAAAAGGATCAGCAGAAAGAGAATTTTGTTAAATATTTAATTTTTTTTTGCTTATAATTTATTTATTTATAAAATGGTAAAGAAAAAAATATAAAGAACAAAATAATTGTAACTGTTAAAGAAATACAAAGAATTCTATTCTGTCAGGTTCTAAATTATTTTCAATATTATATTTTAATATAACAAATTGTGATACTTTGGAAAAAAGTTCATTATATCCAATATATATTTCATTAGGAAATATATCAATTTGAAGATGCAATAAACTGGATACAAAACAACTATTAGGATATTTGTCAATAATCAAATCAGAAAATATAATAAAAAACAATTACAAAATTTTAAAAAAATTGTATATGAAACTTTTTACAATGTCTAGAGATATTATTTGAACTATTAATTTTAACAAAAACAGAATCAACTATTCAATTGAAAGCAAAAACATTCAATTTATTCCAAAAAAATATTAATAATTATATCTGATTGATCTGAAGTAAAGATTCTAATGATTCTCTTCGATTCTGTATTTGATTTTTAAATTTATATTAAATTTAAGAAGTGGAGTATATCTAAAGATGGGTTCCTAAATTAAAGATGAGGATATAATTCAAATGTCCTTCACTATTAAAAAAGTTTTTTTTTAAATATAAGATTAAAAAAAAACTACCTACAAAGGTTTTTTGCAATTTAGGATACTTGATTCAAGTGTTTTTTGAATTATGTCCCTATTAAAGTAATGAATAAATAATTATGTCCCTTCAAAAGGAACATAATTGATCTGCGAAATTTTATATGCTAAATAGTTTAGGGACCCATCCTTATTTCCAAGTGCTCTCACCCACTAACTAACTCCTACCATGGAGCACTCTATAACAAACAGTAACAAAAAACAGCTCCTATATGCTACTATTCATCAGAACTGAAACCAACTCTTTCAAATTTACTACCTTGATCTCAGCAACAATAAAATCATCCGAACAAAATTTGCAAGATCTCTCTGTATTACCAACCTAACAAACTTTCCTAATCAATTTCTCATTGTTAAAAAGGAATAGACATTAAGGAAATCGTCAAAACAGGAACTATCGATAACATCCGTATTCTAATCTTTATAACCAAAATATATAAAAACAAAAACAAAAAAGACCAAAGAAAACTATCCCAAACTTGCATCCAACTCTCCAACCAAAAAAACATTACTCTTAACTTTTAATTTATTAGTAATATAGTCAAAAAAATGGAAAAAACTTAACTTAACACTGAACTTTACAACTGTCTTCAAGAATTTCTCTCTCTTTCTCAAGGAACTTCAAAAAACCCTAATCAGCTTATCACTGAAAACGATCAACTATCCATTACTTTCCTTGTTTCTCAAAAAGGGAGTGACAATCAATTAAACACAACAATACCTCATGTATTCTAATTGTCTATCAC